TTAAAAAACTGTATTTTTCGCAAACTCCGATGGCAAAAGTTTTTTCATAAAAACTCATCAGTTGAATCCAATATCATCCTCCATAAATTCCATCTGAGTCCCATGCTCTGAAGCTAAGATATATCATATCCAAAAATTCTGGATTCGTGCCTGTTCCTCTGATATTGCAAATAATAGTTAATGTGACAGTAATCGTCCTCTTTCATTATGCTTCATGTGACGAGATGTTTACGACTAATTGTTCGCTCTCTGACTTAGTTTGGAATTTAAAAATAACTCAAAAATCTATAAAACTTCGCATTGGATCATGATTAGCGATATCGAATAATGAAAAAATAGAGAAATGTTCTTCAGAAATGTATATATTACAATTCGATCGATGCTTTACATGAATTTGTTTTCAATTGATTTCTCATCAAAAACAGCCAAAATTTATTGTTTTTCTTGTATTTATTAGAATCGGTCGAAATTTCTTTGTATATTATCAGCAGTTATTATCAAATTCTTTCAACATCTAATAAATATTTTGATTCGTTGTATTTTTAGAAAAATTGGCCACTAATGAAGAATGGAATTATTCAATAAATCTTTAATTGCGATAGAAACGTCTTAGAACAGACAGAATTTAATGTAAATTTTGCAAAAATACTTAGAGAAGGACAATTTGAAGAATACTGAGCTTTAATAGTTCAAATTTTTGAAAGAATAAATACTAATGTTATTCGAATAACAATTAATTAGTGTAACTAATCATAAAAATTCTAATCAACAAACATGAAGAGTCAGTGAAGCAAGAATATCGTCAAGCAATATTTGATTTGGTATGCATTCAATAAAAAGATAATGAAGCAAATTGAGCTGCTGTAAAGCACTACATACATGTGGTATTTCTCATCCACATAATTTCGTTGTTAAAGATTTTAACTGAGTAAGTTTTGTACAATGCCATCGAAAAAATTCAGATATATGAGATATTTTATGTTGAATGATGGTCGAATACTGGTAATACGACTGAGTATTTTCTCAGATCAATATGGTTGAATTGAATACTCTAAAGGATTTTAATTACTTTTTACTAAACGAACATTAAATAAAAAATAATCAGAAACAATTAGTTGATCGAAATAATGATATAAATTAGCAAAGACTTAAAGAAGAACATGTGCTTCTAAATAAGAACAGATTTCAATTCATAATTCAATCGACAAATATTCAATACAAATTTTCATTGTTATCTGTATGGGAATATAGTTCTTATTATACACCAGTAAAGAATCTACAGTTTATTATAAAAGATTTAACGAAATGAAGAATGGCGATTTTCAGAATATTCAAAATGTTAAAAAAAAGAAACTTTTTGTTTTAGGTATGCATGGAGAATATTTTCTCTATCTGGTGTTAAACAAATGAAATGACTTCAAGAATAATTTTGTTTTTTGAATAGTTCAAATTAAAAAAACAAATTTGTCATTTTATTTCGAGTCTATATGATTTTAAATCATCGTTCAATTTCATTATTTCGAGAAAGAAAGTATTTCTGGTAATTATCTATTGTTTTTTCATTGATCATTTGAAGAACAATTGCAAAAATCTATATAACATCGAATAAAAATATTAATCCATTCAATTTTTGTTATAATTAACCAACAATGATTAATTACATTTGTGAAAACAAAGACTTCAATGAAATAATGGCAATATATATCTAAACGAAATCACTTTAATATCGACTTTTTTTTTAAATTAAACATTCAAAAAATCTCTTTGATTATATTTCAAATTTCATTTCAATTTAGCAATTCGAAGTTCTATCAGACTGAATAATTGTCGAAGAAATGACACTATTGAATCACTATAATCATAATTGAAAATTTCAAGTTTCTTTAATTGAGACATAATAGCTGTACTGCTGAATCCTTCATTCTTTGAAAAACTATTGTTCTGCTGGTAACATTGAAACGCGTATAAATAAAACATGCGAGATAATCCCTTCGCTAATTTCGGCATTTTTTCTCCTGGATCCAACTATGAAAATCATCGTTTAGCCGTAATATTCAAACTGTGTAACACTTCAAAAGAGAAGTTTTATTCACGTTTGTCAACAAAAAATCAATATGAATTTGCTTGTCCTATTGAATAAGCGTACACGATAATTAGTCAATCCGTTCAATGCAGTTCATGATTAGTCAAACTTAGTACATGCCATGGGTTCATTGAGTCAATCGTGGTATAAAAAATCAAATTTTGACTAATTAATGTTATTCAATCGGTCATTATCGTCAAGATTCAATTGTGCATCAGCCGTTGATCACATAAGCAATCTCAATGAAATATATCAGAGGAGCACCATCATCGATACGCATATTGTGTATAATAAAACTGTGGTTTGATCGTATTGACTTGTGTAGTATCGATCATGTCAAAGTCACGTTATTTTGTTGAACAGATACTAAGTAAAGCTGCAAAGTTGACTTATTTTTTTCCAATATTGAACAGAGCGAATCATTCCTTAATCATATGACTTTCAGTAAGATCTTGAGCATCATAACTAATCTTTGTTTTATTTAAGGTTAACGATACGGTAGTCCTATCGTTCAACAGGGAACGTATTGATCGGTTCCCAGGTCCATCATTCAGGTCGTCTGAAACGACGTCTTAAAAGGCCTAAAACGGTGAAAAAACGACGTAATTAATGCCCTAAACGATGAAAAACGATCGCCGTTTTTCACCGTTTTTTGACCGCTTTCCGGCAGCTCGGATTGAGGGCCGTTTTTCCCCGGAACGTAAACGACGCCGTTTAAGGCCGTTTCCGGCGAGCAACGATGAGTAGTATTATGGCAGTATTCTCGTCCTATAGTGTCTTATTTACACCGGTTTTTCTCGTTTACGACTTTATATATCTTTTGCCGTCTGTCCTCAGTGAAGAGGAGCACAATATTTCGTCCCCTCCTCACCTTCCGTAAACACAACAAACATTATTTATTTATTTAACTAAAATACTTACTACTATATATTTCATTGAGATAAGTCTAAATAAAAAAAATAAATATATTTATTTAAGTACGATACTTACTGTTGAATACTTCAATGAGAGAAATCTAAATGAAAAAAAATATACTTATTTAGACAAAATACTTACCATTGAATATAGTAATGAGATAAACCTAACTAAAAACACATTATTTATTTATTTAAATGAAATACTTACTGTTAAATACTTCGTTGCGATGAATCTAAATAAAAATAATAAATTTATTTAAACGAAATACTTACTATTATATATTTCAATGAGAGAAATCTAAATGAAAAAAAAATAAATACTCATTTAAACAAAACACTTACTATTGAATATATTAATGAGATAAATCTAAATAAAAAAGTAATAAATTTATTTATTTAAATAAAATACTTACTGTTAAACAGTTAGTTGTGATAAATCTAAACAAAAATAAATATATTTAAGCAAAATACTTACTATTGAACATATCGATGAAATATACCTAATTAAAAAAATACATGTATTTATTTAAATAAAATACTTACTGTTTTGTATCTCATTAAGATAAATCTAAATAAAAAAAATATATTTATTTATTTCAATTCAATACCACTAAATATTTCATTGAGATAAATCTAAATAAAAATAAAAAATAAGTATACTTATTCAAATACAATACTTACAGTTGAACTAGATGGTGAAAAGAATCTGAATAAAAAAAAATATAATTTTTTTTAAATACGTAACGACCAATCAATTATAGATCATTAGAAAGTGTCTAATGATGATTTTAGGACACTTTTTGAAACGATAAAAAACGGTGTGAAAACGGCAAAAAAACGACGGTCATAACGACAATCGTTTCCGCTAGTGCGTAAACGATCACCGTAAAGATCATCGTTTATCGCCGTATTTCTCCGTTTTACGGCAAACCGTAAACGATCATCGTAACAACAGCCGTTTTTCACCGTTTTCAAGTCGTTTAAGGCAGTTTACGAGCCGTTCTGTACGACATGGGTTGTGTTCTTCACGAAAAGATAAAAAAAAGAATGTGGTGAGTGTCTGCGTAAGAGAGAGAGAGAAACCACAGTTCTATTTGAAACTAAAACAAACAAGGATTACTTCGTTGTGTAATAAAGCATTAGCAAGATATTGTACTCCTTGTTCTTGAATTTTATCAAATGAAAGTTCTAGAGCAGTGAGAGTCTGGTGTTGAGAGAAAAAAAGATGAATATAAACCAAAAATAAAAATGAAACTGAGATGATTCACTTTATTATTGCATAAACCATCGGCAAGATATTCCATGCCATTGTCACTGATTTCCATGTATATGAGCTTTAATATTGTAAGTGTCTGTTTAAGAAAGAGATAATAGATTTCAAAGAGACTAAAACAATGATATCTACCGTATTATTTCGTAAAACATCAGCTAAATATCTCATTTCATTACCTTCAATTTAATCGTAACCAAGTGCTATTGAAGTCAACGTCTATATAAAAATGAACAAATCAAAAAAGAGTTATATCGGAAAGAAATGAAAATTATCCTGTTATGGCATAAACCATCGGCAAGATGTTGCATGCCTTTCTCATCGATTCCAATTTGATAAAGCCACAATTGCTTAAGTGCCTATTTAGAAATGAGATGATAGAATTAAGTGAAACTAAAAGAATGCTACCAACCGTATTCTTCCGTAAAGCATTAGCTAAATATTTCATTCCATTATCTACAAATTGATTACGAGCAAGTATTAATGAAGTCAAAGTCTACATAAAAACGAATACATCTAAATGAGTTGCATAAATAAAACAAAATGAGACTTACTTTATTATTGCATAAAGCATCGGCAAGATATTGCATCGCTTTCTCGTTACTACTATCTCCTGACATCTCCAATGACGTAAG